TACCTAGGTTTGTTTTTCTACAACTAGATGGTAAGGCAGTGTCTGTCTTGGTCACAATTACTGGGCCTGGTGTGGTACCCAGCTGAGCTGGCTCCTGGTAGTGTCCCTGGTGTGAACGCATGCTCCCTTGGGGTTCTCAGCTGTAATCCTGCTTAGAGTTCTCTGATGACAACGTACACAATGGGTAAAGAGGGTGCAGGGGGCACTCGGCCAGAGCCCTGTTATGTCTCCTCAGAAGCACCGTGTATCCTTTTCTTTCAGCATGTTTCTTCAAATTGAAATGTTTGTTCCTACTGTTTGAGGTTTATACATCCTCCCTCCCTCTTGAATAGTAGCAGGACAAACAATTCAGCAGTGTTTATTCAGAGTGACTGAATACAGTAAAAGATTTAGACTAAAGTATATCAGATGTCGACTAGATAGATCTGGGGCTTCTTTCTAGGGAAAAGACACGCTTCTGCCTTAAACAGTACTCCATACATTTAGGTAGGTAAAGCATACACACAGAGAGAAAAATGGAGACGAGTGTATACGAATGTTAAAAAGTCATCAAAATGAACACTAAGCTTAGTGCACTTGACACACATGTGTTTTATACTTCAACTTTTAAAAAGGAAGTTAAGTGGGGCGCCTGGGTGGCTCAGTCGATTGAGCATCCAACTTCGGCTCAGGTCATGATCTCGCAGTTCCTAAGTTCGAGCTCCGCATCGGGCTCTGTGCTGACAGCTACAGATTTTGTTTATCTGTCTCTCTCTGCCCCTCCCCTGCTCAATCTGTCTCTTTCCCTCTTTCTCAAAAAATGAATAAACATTTTTAAAAAAGGGAGTAAGTTACAGCATAAAGCAGTAGCCCATACTAATCAAATCATACACGTTGAGTACACACAGAATGGGATCACGGTGTCCGTTGTGGTTAGAGTTGGCTTCTTGCAAGAGGTAGGGTTGAATCTGGGGCTTCAAAGAAAATAAAGTGGGAATTGCACAAAGGTCTGAGAGGCCCAGAACCACACGGGGATTTGAAAGGAGTGGAGGGTTCGTTTGGCATCAAAAAGAGGGAAGAGATTGGACAGATTGCCAAGGGCTTGGAGGCTGGAATGAAAATGTGGACTTTACCCCGAGGAAAAGAGCAGGAGTGTGAGTCATCAGATACCGTATTGTCCTGCTGACACGAGATGAAGCCTAGAGCAGGATGGCAGTAAAAACAGAGGAAAAGATGCGTGCACAGGGGTCACTGAGGCACCGGGGATGCTGTGGGTCAGAACCACCTAGGGATGTGGCTCAGCTGGAAATCCCGATTCCTAAGGTTGGCACGTGCTGCCAGTCTGAGGACCGCCTTCTGGGCAGCACGTCAGAACTGCCTGGTACTTTGTCACTGTGGAGGTCATATTTTTCTCCTCCACCGGTATCTGTATGTCTTGCACATTAGCATCATGAAGTAAACGTCACTAACGCTGAGGAAAGTTTCTCACTGACCTTTGCCAGAATTCCAGCTTGCCACTTGTTCACAAACGAAACAATTTGTAATACATTTTAATTAAATATAGTTGGTGCTTTTTCTCAGATCTCATTGTTTAAAGGTGTTTAAACAACAGTTTTCGTCTTTTCATACTCCCTCGTCCTGCTTCATGATCAACGCCATGGTCATAAGAACTCTGTGACTTTTGAGTTATAGTGGGGTGGCAGACAGCAGCTGAGAAATAGACCATGAGCTGCTGTTTTGTGCCCGTATCCAGCAGAAGAGGGGATGGAAATGGAAAGCATGAAAATGTTTCTCCAAGCACGAATATCCTGAGCTGTAGCTGGAAATAATGGGGGAAAAAATCAAAATAAATTGCTTTCTAACTACTTTTTTACAGCATGCATATCACTATGGTGACTTTTTATAATTCTAGTTTGGTATTGTCTTGCAACTGAATCCAGTGTGAGTGACTGGTCTCCAAGGTTGAGTCTTAACTCTGGTTAATTTTTCCACGTAAGAGGCAGTGGCATATTGAAGGAGATAGTTTTAGTAACCCTTTAAAATGTAGTCATGCGAAATTCTGTGTATGATTTAGAAGATCCTTTTAAAACTCAGCTTTCTATAGATATTATCTTAGGAGCTCTGATTTGAAGTACTTCTAACAGCATGCTGGAAAAAATACAGTGATTGAATCAAAGATTAAGGCAAAAGGCTGGCAGAAATCCACAGTATAGATTCTTCTGTCATTCCTTTATGCCTTAGAGGGTCTTTCAAAGAACTGGGGGGATGCATTTACATTCAGGGGGGAATTTTCACATTTTATTTTCATTGCACAGATTTGAAATGCATGAACTCACAATACCGTTCAGCGTCAGTAACAATTGAGAAGATACTCTTGGAAATGTTCGGATGCCTCTCAGGTCTCACTTAGATCATTAAGTACCAGAGCCAGGTGGAACTTTGAATATCTGCCCTGGAAATTAGGGATGGGAAAGAACTCGACATCTTTTGCCTTTGTCATTGGCACCTCAGAACCACTTATTTTTTTTTTTTTCAACGTTTATTTATTTTTTGGGACAGAGAGAGACAGAGCATGAATGGGGGAGGGGCAGAGAGAGAGGGAGACACAGAATCGGAAACAGGCTCCAGGCTCCGAGCCATCAGCCCAGAGCCTGACGCGGGGCTCGAACTCACGGACCGTGAGATCGTGACCTGGCTGAAGTCGGACGCTTAACCGACTGCGCCACCTAGGCGCCCCAGAACCACTTATTTTTAATAGCGTTCGGTATGGTACTCCCACCTCTTCCTTTGGAAGACAGTCTTTAATCACATCTATCAAGAACTTTTGATGTATTTTTTTAACCACATTTCATTGTTTCTACTTATACTAGTTATTACCATCTGAATTAATTCACCCACCTACCTCCACCCTCTTGCATCCTGTTTGAAATTGGTTGCTTCCTAAACTCTAACTATACCCAAAGGCTCCATATTTAGGTTAATTTTCTAGCCCCTTTCATCCGAGATGATTGGTTTTTGTATCACATGTTCAGTATTATGTGTCTCCTGCTGGGAGGATAGACCATCTCTGAATCGAATTACTGTAGCCCACGCAGTGTGGGGTCAGCACCCATCTCCCAACCGGACCACCTGGTCGGCTGGGCTACAGACCAGAGCCCCCTTTCCAGGAGCAGAAACCTGTCTCACTCTGACTCCCATCAGAGTCTTTCCGCCCCTTTTCCACTAGACGGTCAGGAACTGGGTGGGTACTTCTGAGACGCTCTCCACCATACCAAATTCAAGGGCAGCAAGGACTGAGCCAAACTGCACTGTGGCTCTCAAACCAGACCTCAAGCAAGCTAGGCCCCTCCCTGGGGCTCCCGTGTTTCCCCAGCTCCCAGGCAGGCCCTCCTGCCCCACCTGCAGAATTGTTTGTGTCCTGTCCGAACTCCTCCTGCTCAGGGACCAGCTCTCCCCACCGGCTAGTTCACCCATCTTCTGGAAGGCACACAGCAACACCTACCAGGGCTCGCAGTGCCCGCTCCAGAGAGGCCACAGGCATATCCGGGTCCCTTTGGCTTCTCAGCAGCCCTGCCACCTAGCCACAGTTCTGTAGATGACTGACGACCACTGCCGTGACAGGCAGTGCAGTCATGAAGGGCCCCGGAAATGTCACCCCAGCACCAGGCCACATCTCGGGCCACTGGGGGCTATCTGTAGCTCTCCAGGAGGGAGGAGATAACAATAGCCAAGGGAATTGAGTAGCCTTAATGTGCCTTCAGCCTCCCTCTTGCCAGGCTGGAAGCATCTTATGGGCCTGCCATGCAGGCGGGTCGGGGGAGCATGTGGAGATGGGGAGGTGACAGCATCCTGCACTGTGCAAAATGCCCACAAGCATCAGAGCATTAGAGGAAGGCCCAGTAATGGAACCCAAACCATCCCGGCTTGGACAGACCAGGAAGTCGGCCATGTCCCCCCTAGTCTGGGGCACATTCACTCTCCCCAGGGCTGGAGCCTCACCCACAGCCAGGAGACCAGGGGCCACTCAGTCCCCTCTCTCACTTGTATGTCCTCCCTCCCTTTGAAGCCTCCGCTGCCCCCTCTCTGTCCAGAAGCAGTCCTTACTCGCCAGGTAACCAGTCCCCAGGTCTTCCTGTGTCTTAAAAATCTCCACAGTGTCCATTATGGGCTGGGCCTCTCAGCCACCTGCTCACTTACGTCTTCTAGCTGCGGGAGGAGGAGCGGAGCAGACATTGATTCCCCGAACAAAGATTTAGGGGCCAGGCCTGCGCTAGGTGCTGGGGATACCTGGGCCAGCGAGACAAAGACCTGCCCTGGGGGTCTCGCGTTTTGGAGGAAGAGATAGATAATAAACATAAATAAATGCGACTCGTGTCAGGCCGTGGTAAGTGCCACGTAGAAGAATAAAGCAAGGTTGGCGAGGAGATGGACAGGACGGCCTCTCTGTGGGGTGAGAGAGCAAGTGCCCATGTCTCCTTCCACGTACACATACAGTGCAATTCCCTTCCTCTCCTTTCCTTTCATTTACTTCTCCCTCCCTCTGTGAGTCCCTCCAGGTGAACACACCAGGTTAAACCTGCTGATGTGTGCGCGCTCACACATTACTTCGATCTTATTAGGAACCCGTGACGCTAAAGGAACGTCTCTGACCTCCCGCGTTGTGTTTATGTTGCAACATGGGCTTCTGCTAGTATCGTGGCTTTGAAGGAGGCCCTGTGCCCCTCCCCAATTGCTGAGTGGCCCCTCCCCCCCAACTCTAGGGCGGTGGGCAAAAGGGAAGAGGGAAGGTTAAAAAAAAAAAGAGGTAAAAAAGAAAAGAAAAGTCAGCCTTGGCCCCTCCATCGGGAATGTTCTGCTGTCTGGGAGGACACATATTCAGGGAAGGAAGGGGGAACTTACCCCAGCTTCTCTGCCTGCCCCTGCCCTCCTGTGCTTGTGTGAGGAGCCCATCCCCTTGGCCCGCAGTCCCGGAGAGAAGCCATCAGAGAACACTACTGAGCCCATGCTGGCTTTCTTTTCAGCTTCCTGGAAAGAATCGACAGTGTCAGTCTGGTGGACTACACACCCACAGACCAGGTAGGTGAAGCGGGAGCCCGCAACCACCTCTTTGAACTTCCTGGGACTAGAGGAAGTGCCAGTTATCACTCACTGATTATTTTAACGTGGATTAAGGAGGAGGGATTCCACAAGATAGCTACTTCTGGCAAATCGTTTCCACTGTCCCTGCACGTACACGCAGCGTACCCACCAGAACCTGTGCTGTGCCTCCTGACTTAGCTCTCTAAAACCTACTGGATTTCTAAACTGCCAATATCAAAGTAATTTCCCCTGTGGAATAGGAATGTGCCACTCCCGTGCCTCTGGGAGCTGTGAACGGAAAACTGAACCTGTGCTTCACCAGCTTCGTAAACTCTGCCCATTCTGCTTTGGGCCCTGGCCTGGTTCACATATTACAGGCACGCTCTCCGGGTGTGACCCAGAGCGTCGTCTTTGGGTTGAGCTGGATAAAAGCGTCCCACTGCACATTCAGAAGTAGAAGAGAGGGACCCTCTGTGCCCCTCGAAACCTTTGGCACTCAGGCATCTGCAGAGACTTGGAGAAAACCCTGAATTGCTCAGCTTAGGAGGCTCCCAGCAGCCTCTAGAGCTAGTGAACGCCAAAGAAGTTAGGGGGCTCCATTCAAACAGCCTCTCCAACACCCCACCCCCCAGTGTCCTATGTCCCCTGAAGGGCCTTGGCAGTGGGCCCCTCCTGGCATCTCTCTCCTCTCTGCCTCTCCTGAAGGCCTGAGCTCCTCTCTCACCCCAAAATCCATCTCTCTGTGAGGCTGACCCCAAGAGCTCAAAACTATCCAAATCTTTGTTTTCAAGCCTTTGGTTTCTCACCCAGAAGGTCTGCACCCGGAGCAGGTGGCTTTGCAGGTAGGTGCAGCAAGCAGAGAGCCGTGGGGTCTCCTGTCAGGTGCAGGACAGGCATGGACATACATGCAGAAGTGATAAATTAAAAAACAACAACAACAACAAAACCTGCTAAAGGAAATTAAAGCACAGCTACTAAGTCTCTAAGACAAAACTAATACATTAATTATGACTTTCTGCTGGGAGGGAGATGGTGAGACAGACCATTTGTCTGACTTTTTAGTTATTATTGTTTCTCTTACAATTGGAAGAGATGGTCATCTGAAAAACTCCGTTATTATGGTTGCATTCAGGGCTTTTCCTTCTGAAGAACAGTGTTGCCACTTGGTTTGTCTTCTTGTTCTCAGGACCTTCTCAGATGCCGAGTTCTGACATCAGGGATTTTTGAGACCCGATTCCAAGTGGACAAAGTAAACTTTCAGTAAGTTGTTGAGAGCAGACCTGCTGCAGAGACAAGGGCAGGACGCCCCCCGCCCTGGCTGTCTGCTGGCGTCCTGATGGGGTCGGGGAGCCCAGCCTTCCTCCCATGGGCCCTGGGACATCAAACATCCCAAATGTGCCTCGCTGTCCTTTTGGATAAGTCCGTACAGACTCTGTGGCCCTAAAGGGCATGCAGTAAGTTTAGGGCAGGGAGGAACATGGGAACCAGAGCCACCTGAGAAGGTGAGAAAGATCCAGTGGCTTTTGGGTAGGTACAGAGGACCCGCTCGGGCAGGGGGATGCCTGGCACAGGCTGCCCTGAGAAGAGGGGCCCGAGCCGGCCTGGTGACCACAGAGTGAGGGCTGTGACCCCAAGGAACAGCTTGGTGGGGACTCCCGGGTCAGGCAGAAACTTAGAGCCAGTGGAGCAGTCTGCGGGGGCCACCCATGGGGCAGTGCTTCAGACGGGGAGCCTCAGCCAAGGAAAGAAGCACAGAGGTGTCACGCCCCGCCCCCCCAACCCCATCATCATGTCCTGTTGTTCTTCCACAGCATGTTTGATGTCGGCGGCCAGAGGGACGAGAGAAGAAAATGGATCCAGTGCTTTAATGGTGATTTCTGTGCTTTGAATCAGATTAGACCATCCATCAAATGCCTTAAATGTGAATCTCATAAAGAATTTAAGCATCCCAGGGCACCTGGGTAGCTCAGTAGGTTAAGCGTCCGACTTCGGCTCAGGGGAGGATCTCACAGTCCGTGAGTTCGAGCCCTGTGTTGGTCTCTGTGCTGACAGCTCAGAGCCTGGAGCCTGTTTCAGATTCTGTGTCTCCCTCTCTCTCTGCCCCTAACCCACTCGCTCTCTGTTTCTCTCTCTCTCTCTCTCTCTCTCTCTCTCTCAAAAATAAGCATTAATTTTTTTTTTAATTTAAAAAAGGAATTTAAGCATCCTAAATTTACATTTGTCATTTGCTCATATGGGTGCATTACTGAAACAACCACACACACAGTGCTTCTTTAAGTCGTTCTTATAATCACGGGATGAAAATGAGTAGCAGCTGGACGTGTACTTGATCATAACCACACAGTGGCTCTCTAACCAGGGGGCTTCCCTTTTTCTCTCTTCTTCCACAAAGATGTCACGGCTATCATTTATGTTGCGGCCTGCAGCAGCTACAACATGGTGATTCGGGAAGATAACAACACCAACAGGCTCAGAGAGTCCCTGGACCTTTTCGAAAGCATCTGGAACAACAGGTTATAAAAATAAGAAATTCAGTTGCACCTCTGGATCGCAAATTTTCTTTCATTAAAAATACCACTCAGCTCGCTTTCATTTTTATTCTCCAGATATATTCATTCTTTTCTTACTGGTAAATCCAAAACCATTAGCAGGATCTCTTTTGGTCCATCTCGTGTATAGACCCACTTAAAATGGGCAGTAGTCCTCGATGAAGCTCTGATAGTGCTCTGTTAAGAAAATTTAAGGAGTGTCTTTGTGACTCAGCCAGTTAAGTGACTGACTCTTGATTTCGGCTCAGGTCATGATCTCAGGGTTGTGAGATCGAGCCCCACATTGGACTCCATGCTGAGCATGGAGCCTGCTTAATATTCTCTCTCTCCTTCTCTCTCTGCCCCTCTCTCCCTCTCTAAAATTAAAAAAAAAGGAAAGAAAGTTTAAATATCTGTTTTTAAAGCTCAAGATTATATCGAGGGTTAAAAAATGGTTTTGCTTGGTTTTTAAAATTTAGAAAGTACCATCCACAAATAACTATAGATGATCTCTAGAAGATCCCTTACAGGTCAAAGGCACAGCATAATCATGTTTGAAATTGCTACTAGTGCAAAGAGGTGATTATTTTAGAAAGGAACCCAGCAAACACACACACACGATACATACCTATATAAAAATCGAAGTGTCTTCTGAACTATTTAAGAAGAAATATCACCAAGGAGGACAGGAAACGTAAGCTGACCTTGCAAAACATTTGGATTATCAGGAAAGTATTTATCAAGTGTTTAACACTTGTTCTCAGTAATATAGTATTGAGACAGTTAATGAGAAAGAAAAAAAGTCAGGAAATACTGGGTACATGAAGGAATACTTTGGAGTCATTAAAAAATTTTATATAAGCGTATATATAAATTTTACATTTATACATATTATATATTTATATATAATTTATATATATAAATTTAAATATATATATGTAAGCACACACACACACACAACCACATGAGAAAATGACCACAATACTGTTCAATGAAAAAGCACATTAAAAAACACCATGATCTTATTTTATAAATATGTCTGAGAATAGGAAAAAACCTGGAAGTAAAAACATAACAGTTCTAATAGTTGCCTTTGTGTGTAATTACATTTGATTTTTTTCTATGTATTTTCTGTGATTACAAATTCATTTTTACCAGGATTATATATTTTATAACAAGGAACAGTAAAACTATTTCCACTTGGAGGAAGAATGGATTGTGTTTCTAATTCATAGTAAGATTCCTGTGCACTAGTCATCAGCTTGATTCCTTTGAAATAACAGAATTTACAAAGGCTTTGCTGATGTGCATACTGAGCTCATCTTAAGCCAGTTCTCATGTCTGTTTAGGAAAACAAGGAGAGAGAACCTTTCCTCCACTGTAACAGAGCCCCTCCCCTTAACTTGTCCAATGCAGTGGTCATGACCGATATCTGGTTAACAACCTGCTCCACCCCTGGAGAAATTCGGCCTGTTCTGACTCAAGCCAGCTACAAATTACATTCTGTGTGATTAGCTAATGACTCATGTATTTTATTGTTATTATCGCTCTAACTCCTAGTTTATCTGACCCTTTCTTAGTAAAACTCCGGGTGTATTTATTCCATAAATAAACCTTAGCTTTGGTACCAGTAAGTTTATATTCTCAGTAAAGATTAATTAGAAAATACTGAACTGCTAAATTAACTCTATTTATTTATTATAAGGTTTACTTACTATAAGAATGTCTTGCATGCAGATGGAGTGGGGGTCCACAAGATTGGTACATCAAATCATTCTAGATCCTGTACATTTCAGGAAGATGGAAATGCTGTTCTTTTCACTGAGTACCTCCTCTGTTAGAGGTACTTTCATGTACTAGCAGATGTGAAGTTTGTATGTTTATTTCTCTTTTCAGGTGGTTACGGACCATTTCTATCATCTTGTTCTTGAACAAACAGGATATGCTGGCAGAAAAAGTCTTGGCGGGGAAATCAAAAATTGAAGATTATTTCCCAGAGTATGCAAATTATACTGTTCCTGAAGATGGTAAGATTTCAAAACCAGTTCTGACTCAGGAAAAAATTTGGTTATTTTTTTCATTAGCCCTGTAACTGTAGTTCCAACAGATGTGATGAAAATTTAGGAAATTCAATTAATTTGCATCAACTCTCCGGACTGCAGCCCCCACCTTCAAATGCTAGAGTGTTAAAATGTCCTATTTAGGATTCCATTTGTCGGGGTTTGACTTTCCATTCAAACTGTGCAGGAGAAGACAGGGCACTTTTGGGTGTGTGTCTATTAAGTACTCTCTCGGTGTCTTGGCTGGGTCTGTCCTGAACTTGGCACTGTGTCAGCCCTTTACGTCGACCTTGACTCTCACTGTAACCCTACGCGGAAGTTTGTTATTTGCATGTTTTCCTGTGGAAAGTGAGCTGAGAGAGGTAGTCAGTCGTTCAAGGTCACTCAGGTAGAGCTTGCCAAGACGAGGCAGCCTCTGAACCTTCATGCCCAAGCCCACCCTTCCAGCCACCACGGCCCAGCGATGACTTTGGCTACCAGTAGGATGGCCTGGCCGACCAGGTGTGGGGTTCAGGGGCAGGGGGCTCTCAGTGCTAAAGCCCTGGACCGGGGCACACCCCGTTTCCAACTGCGGCTCCTCAGTTCTCAGCCCACCTTGGAGGAGGGGTTCATTGGCAGTGAAATGCTACCACTTCCTAAAATTTGAACCCCCAGCTAGATAAAGCAGAATGAAAGGGACTGTCCTAGAAACTTAGATAAGAAGTGAAGAAAATTCTTCATCCTTGTGCTAACGTTGGCCAGTCTAGTGTTGAGCCCCTGGTGTAAGAGAAGTCAGCAGAGCTCGGCTTGCATTGCCCTCTCATCTCGGACTACGGCCCTCAGCAAGCCAGGCTCCCATCCCTACACTCTGGACAGTCAACACTGAAGCGTCCACTGTCATGTGCTCTCCCTCCTCTCTGTCTTGGTCCGGGCCCTCCTTCCCCTCTTCTCAGTTCCGGATCTGGTCAAGGTAGCATCCTGCCCAGGCTTCCTTATTCTGTTCACTCAACTTTCCAGAACAGTCTTTGGATTGCTGCCAAAATCTTTCTGAAACACAACCACAACTCTATTTGTGATCCCTACCAACACAGACTTAATCTCACCGCAAGCTGAGGCCACACGTGACCCGGCCAGAAAATATTACAAGCTAGGTTCCCCACCACAACCCTCCGTGGATCCTGTGCTCCTTTCCCACACACATTTAGGGGATCCTGTGCTCCAAACCCTCAACCCTCTGTGGATCCTGTGCTCCTCCCACACACACCCTCAGTGGATCTTGTGCTCCTCTCTCTGCCTGCTCCTCCCTCCCTTCTGCACCGAACCTGCCCAGGCACCTGCCCTGGGTCAAGCATGGCAGGTCTCCAGATCAGGGCGGACTCAGCATCTGTAGAATTCCCCATCACCTGCTCAGCGTGAATAATCATATAATCATGGTAGTTGCAATAGAGAAAGAAAAGAGCAATGAGACCATGCAGGGAAGCCGAGATTTTAGGAACTTGGAATCTGCACGGGAGAAGAATCAGGTTACTACAGTCAATTTCACAGAAGGCCTCCGTGGTAGGAACAGTGAAGGGGAGGGTCTCCAGGGAACAAAGCTAAGAGAATGCAGACCGGATGAGCACAACCACTGCTAAAACCACAGCCCCTGGAACCTTCTCTCTCAAGGGAGCTCTGAAGGGGATGGCAGCTATGGGATTGGTCAGTGTTCAGTGGCATGCTTTCATTTTCTCTGAGTGGGAGTCATCCCCCATCATCAGAAACAAAACCAAAACTTTCATCAGCTGCTAAATGAGAGAAATAAAGTTACATTTCAGCTTTCTGCTTTGCTCTGAGTGTCTTTTAGTGCTGTGAGTGCACCGCAGCCCTACTTTGTAATTCCTCTTCCATTTTCCATAGAGTTGTGTTCTCATCACCTAAACAAAATTCCACTTGTAATTTTTACAGCAACACCAGATGCAGGAGAAGATCCCAAAGTTACACGAGCCAAGTTCTTTATCCGAGACCTGTTTTTGGTAAGCAGTTTTATTCTTTGCTTTCCTACCTCCTTAGAGTTGTATTGTTCTTTGCAATTTGCATATCACTTACCCTTTCATGATCTGATTTAATCTCCACCCAAATTATGAGAGGCGAAGGAATTATTACTTCATCTCACCACTGACCATACTGGGGTTCAGAGAGGTTGGGCTTTTCACCTCAGGTCACACAGCGCCCAAGCAAAAACAAGGAGCACAGCACAAGGCCCCAGAGAATGGCACTGAGACCCCCACCAGACTGTGTTCACTTGTGTTTTCCTAAAAGGAAAGAAGCCTTTAGCAGAGTCTGAAATACCAGCACCCACACTGGGTGCCCCTCCCCCTTTCATTCACTCACCACTCAGAGGCTAATTCAGACATTCAGGAAAATTCAGATCTCTCTCTTTTTTTTAACTCTTTATTTTGAGATGATTTCAAATTTACATAAAAAGTGAAAGAATTATATATACGTGGACTGTGTGCTTCTGGAGAGGTGAGAATCGGCCCAGTGTGCAGCAGGGACGGTCCCACAGTCTGCCTGACATTTCCACGGGGATCAGGTGCCTTCCTGACTCCTCAGGGGAACCTTATTATCCTATTCCCACCATGGGCCCCCATCGGTTGCCTCCTGAAATCTTATACTGAGTGAGAAAGTAACAAGGATAAGAAGTCAAGTCCCCAGGGTGAGTTCTGAGGAACAGTATTCCCCAGGAGGTTAACAGGTAGCATGGGGAAAGGGCTCTGCAAGGAGTAAATCTGGGAAATAAATCGAGACAGGTTTCTCCGGTGTCAGACTTTCTAGAACCTTTGCTATGCCCGTGTGCCTTGTGAATCTCTTGGATAAGGTAAATCGGTTTGTAGTTTATCACAGGCTTCCTTTGGGAGGAACATCTTGCAAGACCATAAAATATAAAAACACATAAAAAGCTGTCCTAATGAGGACTAAAAGTTAACTAAGTGTGCCTATGAGGCATTTAGTGCCACCACCATTTGATGTTGGGAAAAAACCTTTGATTCTCTAACAATGGGAGAAATCTGGCTTGTATGCAGTTTGCAAGTCAGGGAAATAAACGCCTAGGGGTTATTGATTTAGGTTTTTTTTTATGGTGGAATTTGCCTGGGCCAGTGAGTCGTGGGAGGAGTTTTGAGTTGGAAGCCCTAACCCCAGACCTAGAAGGCAATGGGTCAGGTTACAGAAATGGTTAACAGTATCGAATCTGGACGGGAGCAAATTTGGGCGAAACAATAACTTTGGTGATAGAAGGCCCTGAGACGGGGTGGGGAATAGAGGCCGTACATGGAGAGGGAGAGGTCTGTGGGGGGACCCGGCCTTGAGGAGGTAAAGGTGGGCTTGGGGAGAGAACGGCAAGGGCATAATGAGATAGACCCCTCTGTAAGAAAGAGCCACATGCTGTCTGAGCGTTCTCCTCAACTGTCATTGTGTGAGGAGGGCAAGGACCACCAGGTTTGTCCCAGTCAGGGTCACTTCCTCCCAAGACGGGGAGGCCCAATTCATCCCCAGAGCAGGAGGAACTCAGAACGAAAGGGGCAAGGAGCCAGGAGGAGGGAGAGCCAGGTGGTCAGCCCCCCGTGTTCCCCTAGTCACCGTCAAGCTGTCCTGTCCCTCACACTGGAAACCACCTGCAAGCCCACGCCCAGACCTGGGCCAGAGAGTCCTCCGGGGCGTGCGTCATCAGACCTTTTAAAGCAGGTGGTAAGCATGAGTGGCACCCTGTGTCTTGATGCCTTAGGCATCTGTTAGAAGCCTGTATGCTTTAATCGGGCTTCTCTTCCTGGTATTGTATGAGCTCCCCTCTGATTTCTTTTACCTTGAACATCATCTCCTGACAGGGGACCTCAGAGATGGGCAACAGCCAGGGGACCCAATCAAGCACAGTCTGGAACTGCCCAGTTTTCCTTGACAAGCTTATTGATGTCATTTAAAGTGAAAATCAGTGTGTTTAGAGATAAGCAGACAGCCACTACCTTTGTAATGACTCTGCCTGACATTCTTGTTGCCCCAGGCGGGGACAGACTGGTCAGATCATTACAGAAGAAAGCCTGTTACCTATTCGCCCACTCCGTGTGACACGGCTCTTCCTCCCCATGTTCTAGGGCTATAAAGATACCTACCCTACACGTTTCAGTGTCCTTAAGTTTTTTAAAAATTATAATTGCTCAAGAGAATCCTAACTATTGCTAAAAATAAGTCTGTGCTCCCAGGAGGAGGTTCATAACCTGATGAACATCTTTACCCCAGCCCAGCAGGGGTCTCATCTTGATTCCCAAGATGCTTTGCAAGAAAGGGGATGGGAGCAGGGACGAGGAGGACGTCCGGGGATCCCTGTGGGCACCTATGAAGAAAGCTCCATGTGACCTCTACCTTTGCTGGCTGGGGAGGCCGTAACAAAGCACCACCGACTGGGGGCTTAACACATTATTTTCTCACCATTCTGGAGGCTAGAAGTTGAGATCAAGATGTCAACAGGGTTGGTTTCTCCTGAGGCCTCTCTCCCTGGCTTGTGGATGTTCACCTTCTCATTGTGTCTTCTCATTGTGTCGCCACATGGCCTTTCCTGTGTGTGTGTGTCCCAATCTCCCCTCTTCCTATGAGGACCTTACTGGGTTTGGGCTCACCCATATGACCACATTTTAACTTATCTTTTTTTTTTTGTACCGCTTATTTATTTTTGAGAAGGAGGGAGAGAGAGAGGGAGCGGGAGAGGGGCAGAAAGAGGGAGACACAGAATCCGAAGCAGGCTC